AGATAGATAGATAGATAGATAGATAGATAGATAGATAGATAGATAGATAGATAGATAGATAGATAGATACCATAGCTGAATAGCAGGGGAGCCTTCCTCATCCCAGGCGCCAGACTTCTTATTAAGCAGACTGAGGAAGTCAACCTTAGAGAACTCATTTCAGCACCATGAAAACACAGTCAATAGTCAATTGTCTAATTTTTTACTTAGTGCTTTTCCCAAGGGAGAAAACCTGTGGAATCTTGGGATTCCCACACACACTAGGACAACATGCTGAACCATAAAGCACTACTCAGCCCGAAACAGTCTAGCCTAGAGGCCACGCAAGTTATATAGTATATAGCTGATAGTGCTCAAATTGAGTGCCCCAAATCCTGAGCATTTGCACGCTCAGAGCACCTCACTGACACTGGCAAAAATCTTGAGTCTTCTTTCGGGCTTGTCTAGCTCCACAGGATGGCAAACCAAAGAAGCAAAAACCCACACAGATTTCAGAAAGGCATCTTTAATGCTGGTCTAGAGTAAAACATAGTCTTGAAAACTGTAAGAGTACATTTCCATCCACCTGCAGTGAGTTAATTAAGTTGAGCCATTTCCTTCCCATAGCTTTCACATCTCAACTGTGTTGCCTCTTCTCACCGAAACTGCACCCTTCCTGCTTTCTCACACTGCTCTGCTCCATTCCTCACTTTCTGCAGGAGTTTGTGATCCACGTAATGACACGTCGCCGCCACATCTTTGGACGCCCTGAACGTCGCCCAGCTCCAGACCAAACCAACTTTGTGGACACCTTCTTGAATGCCCCTGACATCTTGCCACGACACTGCTGTGTAGTATCCTCAGTGCCCCCCACTGATCCCAGCCAGCCCCGGAGTTCAGCCATGGTGCGGCCTTTCCGGGGAGCCTCCATAACCCACAATGGTGCCCCGCTCCATCGCCAAGTGGAGTTGGCTCCTGGAGACTTGCTGGGCATGGGGCAGTATTTCCTCTTCATGTACAAAGATCCACGAGCTGCCATGGCGCCTCCGGCTTGGTTACCCAAAGCATGGGTGTCTCCAGGGCTGGTGGGGGCCTTGGCTTGCCAGGCCTGTGGCCGGTCCCTGCAGGAGCGGCAAGAAGCGTTCCGGGCCTATCTCAAGAGTCGAGAACCTCAGCTACGCTACCGCCCCCAGGAACAGGAGGCCCTTTTGGCTGAAATCGTGAGGCTGCAGGAAACGTCCACTTGCAGGCTGGGACCCGCCTTCCTCTTTGGGCTCTGCCTGGAGCATGCTGCTCGGGAGCTGGAGCCAGGACATCTGCCCAGGTTGATAGCCAGGATTGCTCAGCTAGTCAAGGAAGCTGTTTGGGTAAAGGATTTTCTACTTCTTTTCTAATGCCCTATGACTACAGTGACCAATAAAGGACAATTCTTTATTTCAGAAAGCTGTCCTTTAGCTTTATTTAATTTAATTTAACTATTTATTTTCTTGGTTTCGTTCTTGTATTTTCCTTTGTAAAGCAAAGTTAAGAACATAAACAATTACATTTTTTATGAACCTCTTTCAGATTTGCCTCTTTTTCAGGTTTGCCCTTTATTTTTTTCCAAGAAAGTATGGTCACTGTACCTATGACCCATTTAGGATCAGTCCTTATTTTTGTTGGAAAACCTATGGCACAGCTGCAGGTGCCCCTACCACACCCCCTCCGAGGATGCTGTTGGGGTGTAACATTTAATATATCAGAAGGAAGAGATTATTAGATGCATAAGGAGGTTTTCACTAACTGTATGTAATTACATTTATATTTGATCAAATTTAGGTTTTGCTCTGGGCCTGCCCACTTTTTGGAATGCTGCTCAAACATCAGTGGTGGCATTGGTCCTGAAAAAATTGTGTGCCACTGCCTTAGAACAACCCCCCTCTCCTTCCTCTATTCTGAGGCCTCTTAATTCAAATCTGTGTGTCTGTGTCATGTTGTATTCATTGTTATATGGCTATGACATTCTGTCATGGAATGAAAGGCAGCATGACTAGTTTCATTAAAAAAGAAAATAGGAGAAAAGAGTACTGCAAGATGCTGGTTCTAAGGAGTATTTGCAAGATGTTGATTCTCATGGCTCTACACAAAAAGTTAAAATTTCTCCATGCTCCTCTTTCTTTCTTGTCTTCTACTATTTTCTCAAAATAATCAGGAGAGAAACTAAATAGCACAAATGTAAAATAAAATCTTTACATCAATAGCTAAGCAGAATTATACAGGAGTAGAACGTATATGGGGAATCTCCATATCTGACCTCCATATTTGATCTCTTTAGAAGAAGTAAATGTAATAAATACTTTTTTCTCCATCTGGTCCTCCACTAGCTGTAGACTTCTTTCTGGCTATCGGTTATGGAAATGGTTTGAGACTAACCATCTAGTCCTCCCTAATTAATTTCATTTTCTTCATATTCTTCTTCCTAGGGTAAGATTAAAGAAATCAGAGATCGGCAACCAGAAAAGTAAGTAAAGACTATGCTTTCCAAGGCAAGTTCTAATATTAGACTTAGTCAGGTAGTTGTTTTGAACTACAGATGTGGAGTGATGTGGAAGGCACAACAGAGAAATCCCTAGTGATCTCCTTTGATTGGGGAGCAGAGCTTGTTTGTACCCCTTGAGAGCAGTGAAAAATGCTGCCCCATCATCAGTGGTGAGTAAGGTTCAGCTGCTAGTCCAATCAAGGTCTATTTGTGGAATGTTAGGGAGATCTTACCCTTTGTTTTAGATGGCCAAAATGGCATGGGCATAGCGCCAGGCTATTGGGAAATGCTCTAGTTTCAAAATATGACCTTAAACACCTCCATACGTTTGTCCCTGAGGATATTTAATATTAGTCTAGAGTCTAGTTTAGAGTGACCAAAGAGCATAATAACCACTTTCAGTTCACTATTGTCAGTCTAGACCAGTCTTCCCTCCAGATGTGTTGAGACAGTATCTCCCAGAATCTCCAGCCTTGTAGAGGATACAGGATGGCAGAGGCTGATTTAATTGATATGTTGATCTAGACTTTTTTCTGTCTCCGTTGAAGTGGCAGACTTTCTAAACTTGAGCGAGCTCAGCAAGCAAGTTCAGTTTGCTTGCTCAGCTTTCTTGGATGCTGGGATGCAGTTTATCCTTCTCCATCTCAAGACATCTAGACAGGTTGAGGTAACTCTTACCAGTCCCAGCCAGCACTGATATTTAGGCATGTTGACTGGAGATTATTGGAACTGACCATCAGGTTGGGGGAAGCTGGAATAGTAAATACTTTTGTTTGTTTTAGAAAATATCTGTTGGGTTAACAGTAAATGCAGAAATGTTGAGATAAACAACAATGTCCAAGTAAAGAGGACATCTTTGCATGGATTAGTTTTTCCCATTTTTGCATGATTTAGTTCCTCCCATCCTTCTGCTGCTTAGCTCTTCCCATATCTGTAATGTTTAGTTCCTCCCATTTAGTCTAGGCAACTCCATTTAGTCTTTGCTAACACCACAGTCCATTTTCAAATCAACAGCATATCCGGGTCATACATAACAAATACCAAGAGACAGCAGGCTTTGTGGAGATCAGCAGTTACTCTATGTATGATCTTTCCCCTCAAGACACAAAACAGCGTATCTATCTGCTCCAACACTGGACGGGGGAAAGTACAGGAATTAGAGAAGAATATAACTTTTTGTAATACACAATATTACTCAACAAAGCTAAAAAATCACAGCACTCTTAAGGTCAATCTTGTGTCAAAAAATAGTTGTACAGAACAACTGCAGATTGGCTGCGCTGAATATGTGCTGTCCAGATAGGCTGTACAAAATATCCAGAAATGCATAACTTCTCAAAGAATGCAATAAAAAGGCCTTATCATGAGGTAGCAATATTAACAATGTGAAAGGCAAATTGCAAACACACAAGTGGAAATCACGCACCTCTGTCCTTTGGAAGCGAAGTTCACAATCATCAAGAAATGCTGAACTTGGCGTGAACTCTGAAAATGTGTAGAATGGCTTGAATTCAAAATATCCAGTCCAGTTGTTGTTTTAATATCCCAGCCAAGAGTCAGCTGCCTCTTGATGGCAGGTGAGAACTTCTTCAACCTCCCCCATCACTTGACACTAATCTCTGTCGCTCTGGTGTTCCTTGCAGCCAGCAAGACAAAGGAGAACCAGGAAATCTCAGCATTGAGGAAGTGGCAGCTGACCTGCGCCCCCTCATGCTTTGGATGGCTAACTCAATGGAGCTACTCAACTTAGTGCAAAAAAGAGTTCTAGACATTGAGAAAGATCTGGACTTAGAAGGTGAGCCAAGAATCGTCTTTTTTCTCGTAGTCAGGGGAGGATAGAAAGACAGGGACGGGCCAACCTGGTTTTTCAAAGATTCATCCCAGAACAGAGGAGTCAAGAAAATAGGACTTCCTGATTTCTCCAAGACTGATATTATAGACTCATGATAATTGTGAGATCACAGAATGGGGGTTGAGTACTTCCATCTCCTCTAAAAAGGCAAGGTTAGATCAGCAAGGGGAATCATAGCTTCTGCATAAGTAGCCCAGAACTCTAAAGACATTCTATCAAACGGATGGCTTGATATCAGTTGAACAAGCATAGCTTTTCCCAAAGAATCTATTATACCTTGTACAGCAGTCTGAAAATGCTCCATAAATTCCTAGTTTCCATTGTAGAGTAACTGTCTGTAGAACTACTGCCTATCTGTAATATAGGTACACTATGTCCTCAAACCCACTCTTTTATGACTGCAGGAGTTTCACACAATGCATTGCTCTCCAGTGACCTGGAGACATGTGATGAAGCAATGGCTGTCTTAGATGAAATCATCATGTCCACATTCCAGCAGTCTGTGTACTACCTCACTAAGGTGAGCAAGCACTCCCCAAGGATCAAGCCTGACCCTCCTACCCTTCCCTTTTTCCAGTAGCCTCTGTGTCTAATGCTTTCCTCATCCGGCAGACTCTATACTCGGCCCTTCCTGCCTTGCTAGACAGTAACCCATTCACAACCACCACTGACCTGTCGCACGTGCCTGAGCTAAGCAGCATGCCGGAGGGAATCCGAGGGACCCTTGCCATCTACCAAGCAACACTTGAACTGACCCGTGACTGTGACTTGCACCCCGACCTTGTTTCACAGACTTTTGGATACCTCTTCTTCTTCTCCAATGCCTCACTCTTCAACACCATCATGGAAAGAGGTGGGCCGAGAATAGCATCCAGACATTTTCGGGGGGTGGGGGGAACAAATTGGAAAGAATTGGAGATGGATGGGCAGAAAAAAAGACTCTTCAGTATTTTGTGGAAGAAAACTAGGTATGTTTACTTCCATTATATATAAATTAGAGATACACAGTGCTTCAGATTTAAAGACAAAAAGATGCACCTATCTACAGCCCCTTAAATAAAATGTGTTTTTTGCCGTGCCTAAGAGAGAGGACTCTGCCACAAGTGAATTGTAATTTAACTTTCTGCATGGGACAAATCATACTGGGAGAGAGACCGTAGCAAAGATAGAGGGAGAAGACTGGTTTATTCAGTTGCATAAAAACTTTTGATATTATTGAGTATAGAAGCCAAAACTATCATAAGGCTTCATGTAATAAGTGTAATTTTGAACACTAAAATGGATCACATTTTTTGTGCTTGCAAACAGTTTAAGACATACAGGATAGCAAAGATGATACCACTTCAAATATCAGGAAATTTTTGGATGGCTGAAAATGGTGGAGCAAGAGGAAAAGAAGAATGACCAAAACCAGAAGTTCTTTGGTTAGGACAATAATGTGGAGGAACAGACAGGGAATTTGCAGAAAGTGGTCACCTGGCTTTTGTGTGTTGAGGAAAAAGAATCAAATAAGGGTATAAGAAACTGGAAAGTTGTAAGGAGCTTGAGGGTTCTGTGAAGGAAATGGCCCATGATATGCCCTAGAGCTAAGGGTATTTTCGTAGTAGCTGCATTTACACAATACACTACCATATTAACCCATTTTCTTAGTTCCCACAGCATTATAAACTAACCAGATGGGCTGCGTTTGCTAGTTATGCTAAGCCTCCCAAGTCTCCACATTTACATTAGTCAAACTTACCATGTTCTGCAGCTACCAAGCCTTTAATTGATCTGTTAAGTATGTCATATGACTTCAGGATACTTAGATTAAAATTGCTTTTGAGACACTTTTTTAAAATTGTTAATGCCACATAACGAGAGAGGGAGTGGGGGGAAAGGAAGGAAGGAAGGAAGGAAGGAAGGAAGGAAGGAAGGAAGGAAGGAAGGAAGGAAGACAGCCAGCCAGCCAGCCAGCCAGCCTTTGGATTTTGAGTGAATATTCTAACCAATGTAGGATTTTTGTTTGTATTAACAAGGACAAGTGAAGCAAGAACACCTTCAGTCTGACCCTCACCAAGGCCCAGGGAGATGTGAGAAAACTAGAACTCTCCCAGAAATAATCCCATTCCACCTCTCCCTGCTACTCAGCTCCATCCCCCCCCCCCACCCCCCACCCCCCCCTCC